AATGCAAAATAACAAATTATGGCAATGATAAAAACAAAGTTAACTAAAAGAAAGGCGAGGAGACCCTGGTAAAAGCAGAGCTTGTAATTATTAGGGTCCCCTCTGAGCCGGATAAAACATGATGAATAGATATTTGTGACTACCTAAGAATACAATAGGGAAAAGGGGGTATAACAAAACAAGAAGTGTACACACACACAACAACAACAACAAAACGAGAGACGAGACTAGACAAGACGGGAGAAAATAGAAAATATGAGAAATAATAGAAGACTACAGGACATCGACAATAGGCACAGCACACAACGGGCACAAGACAACAGGGGGAGGGAATAAGAGGTTGACAATCTGAAAATATTCAGTTAGACACATATTAATATCAAGAAGAAAATTTACATTTATAGTAATACATAATATATCTTGGCACCATAATAACTACAAAAATGAACTACTCTATGAGTCACAGTATTTATCGAGAAGATAAACCTTAAGTTTACACTTAAATGAAGAGAGACTAACAGATTGCTTAACGCTAGAGCCTAGAGAGTTCCAAAATTTAGGTCCAGTAAAAACCAAAGTATTAAAAGTTAACTTTGTCCTTACTTGGGGTAAGTGAAACGCAGAGGCATTTCGTGTAGCATGGTCATGAACTTGACTATTTTTCTTAAAAATGCTGACTAGAGCCTGTGGAAGGACACCAGAATCGAAGTCGTACATTAAAGAACCCAGTTGAATTTAATGAAATGTCAAAGCTTCGCTCAGGAGGGGGGCAACTGAATTCATGCAGACTAGGATTAAGAGTCGAGAACGGTACAACGAATCGTCTTCTTTCTCTAATAATTTAATGAAATGTCAAAGCTTCAGCGCTTCGTGCGGGAGGGGGGAACTGAATTCAGTCTAGGATTAAGAATCAAGAACGGTACAACGAATCGTCTTCTTTCTCTAATAAATAAAAAAAAAACGGCAAGGCGGAAGAGGCCGGGAACTGAATTCAGACAAGGATTAGGAATGGAAAACTGTACAACGAATCGTCTTCTCTTTCTAATAATTTAATGAACTGTCAAAGCTTCAGCGCTTCGCGCGGGAGAGGAGGGGGGGGGGGTGAATTGAATTCAGACTAGGATTAAGAGTCGAGAACGCTACAACGAATCGTCTTCTTTCTCTAATAATTAAAAAAAGGCAAAGCGGAAGAGGCCGGGAACTGCGATTGAGAATTTCTTTCTCTAATAATTTAATGAAATGTCAAAGCTTCAGCGCTCCGCGTGGGAGGGGGAAAACTAAATTCAGAATAGGATTACGAGTCGGGAAAGGTATAACGAATCGTCTTCTTTCTTTAACAATTTAATGAAATGTCAAAGCTTTCGCACTGAAAAAAAAAAGTAATGCGCACATATCCACCCCAAGAGAGACTCAAGGCGCCTAACAAGGTAAGTACATTGAACGAAAATAATTTAACATAATCAAATATAATTCAACAACGTTAATTACATCATATTTTGAAATACACTACGTCTTAACTAAGGAACTCAGACATTAGATAGGTTTTTAATTGTTTTTGGAACACATTTTGATTGGCTGACATTTTGATTGAATGGGGTAGGGAGTTCCATAACGGGGTGCAGCAGATGTAAAAGCTCTGTCTCCCCAACTCCTCTTTGTTCTTAATTGTGTTAAATTTGTTGAATTAGAGGAACGAATACCTGCACGAGAACTTAAAGAGATATTAAAAAGAGAGAAAATATATTCAGGGACTGATCCATTTAGTGAACGGTAGGTGAGTAGTAGAATTTTATATTTGATACGCTGTTCTATTGGAAGCCAGTGAAGTTTCTTGAGTATTTGAGTAGTATGGGTCGATCGTTTAGATTTAGTGACAAGGCGGGCAGCTGCGTTTTGAACCTTTTGTAGTTTGTGAATTTGGTATTTAGGAAGTCCATAAAGGAGAGAGTTACAGTTATCGAGATGAGATGTTACAAAAGCATGAATCAATTGTTGAGTGGTTTGGGGGTTAAAAATTTCCTTATAGCGCGAAGATTACGAAGATGATAATTGGCAGCTTTCACACATTTTGAAATATGTGCATCAAGAGACATGCTTGTATCGAAAATGACACCAAGATTTCTTGCCTTATCTGAAGGAGCAATGTGCACAGAACCAACACGTATATGAGTTATAACAATCTTGGAAAGTTGTTGTCTGGAGCCTAACAAGAGAAATTCTGTTTTATCGTCATTTAGTTTGAGATAGCAATCATTCATCCATTTTCGTACATCATGAATACAACTTTCAAGATCTTTGACACGTTAATTTAGCTCTTAGCCCCGTGTTTATAGGGTGAAATGTGTTGATATTGGGACATTGGCATTAGTATATTTGTCGGTAATAATATTGGTGGCTAGTTTTGTCGATAATCGGTGGCCTCTACACCCCCCCCCCCCTCTCCGTCCCGTTGAAAAAAGGTCTAGCGACGCCTTGTGGTGATGGGTCAGAAGGTTTTGATAAGGTCTAGTGCGAAAAATAAATAAAAATAAATGCCGTGATGAATTTGTTTTGTTTATAATTGGGGTGGGATATCTAGCCCTCCTCGTAGCAACAAGGGGGCAGGATATAATGATGAATACATAACAAACACAAAAAAAAAAACGGAATGTAAATACAAATGTGCATGCAGGTTCAGGAAAGTTAATATTAATTAATTCGAGACCTGATAAATCCTAAGCAACAGATAAAATACACGTATTAATTATTCAAATACACGTATGCATCCATACAGGTTCACACACAAAATATAAAGAGTCAATGACATTAAATAGCCAAAACAAAATAAAAAAATACAATAAAGGGAACAAAACAAACGAGGAGTAAGGCTGACGTGAATTGTCATTAATAAGATAGATCATTATAAAACAAACACATCTACATTATGAAATATTTCCCCTCGCCTTCTACGCTTATGATGACGACTCGGACAGTCAGATGTCAGACATTCATATTTATTTATATGGGCCTGATGAGGTGGTTTGCTTGTAAACTATCTCGTCTTGTCACGAAAGTAAATTTTCATAATGTTTGCGACAAATATTCGGGGCCATGTGTCGCCCCCCCCCCCAGAGCTACGCCACAGCCAACATTTCCCTTTCTTATCATTTTGTTTGCTATGTGATTTTTATGACTAGCAACCCTCTTCTCGTATTATGAATAGCGACCCTTATTTCGTATTATGAATAGGGACCCTTAGGCCTATGAATTTCGACCCGATTTTGTATTATAGCGAGTACGACCCTCTTCTCATAATTATGATGGCAACCCTCATTTTCGATTATGAATCGGGGTCATTAAATATGAATGATGACCCTTATGAATAATGACCGTTTTCTAAAATTAAGAATCAACAACAATATATCCAAAGAAATCTAAAGAAATCGGGAATACAAATAATAATGTTGATATTAGCAAGCTTGAAGTAAATATCGGAATTAGAAGAAGAACAAATATTAATACGTGCTATTTCTGTTTTTAGAATCCCCACTGTACTACTTGTAGCTAATTGGCCCTCTGGAGAGAAAACAACGCCTAAACGGTGCCCGTTGGTCACCCATGATCCACTTTTTGTTATGTTAATCGAGAGCTGAGTTGATGAGATAGCCACCTGTCAGTGACCACTCTGTGTGGTCTAACCCCCCCCCCCCGGCCAAACTAGTACAGACGGGCTTTAACATCCTGACTAAAATGTCGCAAAGTTTTCCACATTATTTTGCGTGGCAGCCCAAAAGAGGCTGACTGAATTTAGAATGATGCAGTGACATTATTTTGTTTAGATCGAATTTGATAATGGTGCATACCGTGCAGGGGCGGCGATTTCCTTTCACGACCGGGGGGGGGGGGGGGGGCAAAATGCGAGGGACGAGGGAGCAGTGGCGTAATGAGGAAAAACGTTTGGGGGGGGGCAGAAAAGAACCCGCATCACCATCACTCTTACATGTTACTCAGGTCCTGGCTAAAGTATTTACGATCAGGTAGATCAAGCCGAGCGAAGCAAGTGGACCGTAAGGTCCAGGGGGCAGAGCCCCCGGAAAGTCAGGGAAAATGCCATTTCAGCAACATTTGTAAATCACTGGTATCGAATTAGAAATAAACCACGTTTGAATGATTTTTTTTGAGGGGGGGACTTCCCCAAAGCTCCCCCCCCCCCCCATCAATATTGCGAGGGAGCATAGTGAATGAGAGGGACTACCCCTTACGGATTTTTGAAGTTTTGGTTTTATTAAAAAATTACATTTCTTAGCAAAACTATAGTATAAAAACAAGCAATAAACTTTTTTCACACTTCGTTTTGCTCAGTAGGCCTATTTACTTATACATTTAGAAGGTTATTATGCAAGGGAGCGTAGCTTCCGAGTGAAAAGATTTTTGCATTTTTATTTGTCTACACGCTGCACTTTTGGGCCCTCCAGAACCTAAGTTTGTTGCAGTCTTTAGTATTTGCTACCTTTTTCGGGGGCACATTTTCAAATTTTGAGGGGGGAGGGACGATCCCCCTTAAAAAAAAATGAGGGGAGACGTGTCCCCCCCCCAAAAAAAACGTTCCCCGCCTCCACCCCCCCCCCCACCGCCCAACGCCCCCCCCCCCGCCCCTGATACCGTGCATGAAGCCAGGATTTGTTTACTATTACAGCACTCGACCGATGGTCAACACAAATCCGAAAAATACTCTAACACTGAAGCAAACAAGAAAGGAAAAATTTAGAAACAAAAATATAATAATGACCCTGGATGAGAGACTACGTAACTTGTCCTGTAAAAAAAATGAATATACTTCGGATACGTTTTTAGAATAATGCTCTTTCGCACCAGTGGGATTCGCATTCGGCGACAATCTCCATGCCTTTTACACTATAATGAATCGCTAGTTTCATAAAGTCGTCATTAAATTGGCACCGTTAAATTGGCCTTTTTCGGATACCAATAATCTACGTGATTCCGGCCAGGATCAACGCACGTGACTGTAAACAAGTCAAGAACAAATTCGATTCGAAATGGCAGGCACACGAAGTCCGAAGGAACTAAAAAACATGATTTCAGCAAGCAAGCAGGTAGATAAACTGTAGGAGCAACTAGTCTAGTTATCACACATTTCGTGGTATAGTTATCAGGAAATTCATGTCATTTTGTAAATCGTTTTTGCTCTTCACTTTGGTCAGTCCCATTCGATCTCTTTCGTGTATGGCAATCGCTCAGATTTTGAAAATCAATAGGACCCTAGACTATTTTATATTTATATTAGTATACTAATGCTCTTATGACTAGTATGAGTAGCAATGTCATTACTATAATTTGTTTGTTGATTCTGAAAATTCTCGAACACCACTTTACAATACTTGCCAGAATTCACTAAAAATTGTAGACCGAAAGCTTCAGTCTCTGATATCGACGTTGGTTCCGCTGAGATTGCATCTGGGGGCCGTTTCTCGAAACCAACTCCATGACAGTCATATCTTTGTCGCCGACCTACGGAGATGTCATGAAGCGGATAAACCGTTTCACAAAGCCATGCCAGACATGATATCCATATATCGCGATACTAGCAGCTCAAGAACATAGTCTTTGTCACGATCCATTTGATTTATCAAGAATAACCCAAAACAAGTTTTGGGGCTAAAATTGTTCAAAAAGAAATATATACATATAAATTCTCCTAAAACAAATAATAAATAGTGTCATTATCATATTTACATCAACAAACGATTTGCATATTTCTGTAAAGATTCTTAAATAGAAGAAAAACCGGTGAGTGTTTTTTTTTTGACAGTCGAATCAAAAGTTAGTTGAAGGATACCGTAATGTGATAGTTTATCAATACATACTTTTTGTTTATTGTGACGAGGAATTTCAGGCAAAATGCCTTTTCTCAGCCATTTTTTGTTCTAGAGTCTCGTAAATACTCGTTATATAATTGATTTGATATTGAAAATATAATTTGGAAGAAGTAATTAGAGAGGGAATAATAATGCACATAGGCCCCAAAGGTATGGTATATCATCCTAAGAAAAGACTATGGATCGACTATGGAAAACGGTGTGAAACATTATTATCTCTCTTATTTATATGTTATAGTTTAATGATTTGTGATTTAATGTTTATATTCAGCTTTTTAAAGTTTCTGTATAATATGTATTCTCACTTTTGTACATTTGCATTTCGCATCCCAGAGAATTACGTACCGAACTCGTCTATATTTTTCTCAAAATGATAGTGAAACTAATCGTCCATTTCGCGGCCCATGGAATGGCAACAAACTGACTTGAGATGGCGCTTTACAGCAATTAAAAAGATATGACAGGTTCGGAGCAGTGACAACTCGCTTGTCGCGGAAGTTGTCGCTCATCTTGGCAAAGACGGCTTCGTGAAACACTTAGCTGACAAGTTGCGCGACAGTGGTGAGATGTCGTTGATCTTGTAGTTATGACGGTTTCGAGAAATGGCCCCCTGGCTCCACTGACCGCCTCTTTACATAGACTGAAGTACGGCCTATGCCGTACTAGTGGATCAAATGGTTCGGTTCGGCAGGACCGCGATGAATGAGATATGCAACAAGATTTTCACTCTTTACATCCTCATAAATGCACTTTTGCTGCAATATTACATTAGGCTAATAAAAATATAAAAAATAACAAACAAATATGGCTTTGACTTACGATAGCTTGCTCATTTATATCCTAAATTAATTATTAATCCGAGAAAGTCTCGTAGTTGACATGATTCATTGTCATCCATCTTGGTTTTAATTAATGAAAATTCATTTTTTCTTTTCGAACGTCCAATAGCTACGTACGAGTCAACCCAGTGATATATGAATATTCATAAACCCAATACGAAAGGAGTGCTCTGATTGGCCATTCCCTATGTTTTGGTAGGTTGACCCGGAAATATATCGGCCGGGTGAAGTCATAGATTACTAATTTGAATGGATGAATGGTACGTTTCACGGTTCGGAGAAAAAAATTGGATAAATCATATAAGTAAGTCCAAAAATTTCGCATTTGTATGATAGGTCAATTATTATTATTTAGTGTGAATAGGAGTACAATACATATACTTAATTTATATCTGATTTATAAATCAGAAAATTAGATCTAAATAGTGAAAATCGGGGAGAAAGCTCTATCACCATAAGTGGCAGCTGGATTGGCCAGATTACCACCACGGTACGAGATCTCTGGGTTGCCGTCTGTATATGGGGAATGTCAACAAATGTCAGTTTTATTAAAGAAATGACCCATATCAGACGGTTATTTCTGTCTATAAAAATTGACACTTTCAGAATTCAGTTTCATGACAAATCAATTGTCATGATTGTCAATTCTCACGTTTCCCAATCCTTGTGCCCTCATTTGGTTCAGTTGCGACTGTCACGCTAACGCGGTAATTTTGGGAGATGAGTCGACAACTTTCTCGTCAAATCAGGGGCCCGTTTTTCGAAACCAACGACAAGACAGTCATAACTTTATTTGCCAACTACAGGGATGTCTATGAATAGTGAATGTCTTTCCTAAACTGTTTCACAAAGAGCTATATACTAGCTAGATATCTCGTGAAATCAATACTATCGGCGAGATGAGGGGCCAAGACATAGCCTTAGTTGCAATTGTTGTCGACCTGCGAGTACCTGTCCTCTCATGATACGTACATTGGTGGCGCATGTATTTTGAAATGCGAGAATTGATGACGCTTAGCCCTAGAAGAAATAAAATTAGACTGAAAATCTAAAGTGAATTTAAAATAGCTAAATATCAGTAAAATATCATTGTGTGTCCGGGAAAGGTTGACACAACCTGACAGTTGATTTGAAGACAGTTTACAAGGCACAATCAGTAGACTATGGGTGATTTTATCGGGTCTTGCCACTAGATATGTACATATTGAACCCCACTATCGAACCCCACTGTCGAATCCCACTATACGAATGTGATTTTCGGGATGTTGCGTTTATCGTCTCTTCACGATTAAAAATAAAGGCCTTGTCTCTGCGCAGCTGCTTTGCGCTGTTTGACCCGGGAAGCAGAGAGGTGCTCGGAGGTCAACTAGGGCATAGCACATGGTGCGCACTATTTCGCTGAACCGGAAATTAGCCGGGGAAGGTCCGATTTGTATGTGGGGTTCAAAACAGCTGTGCGTTTATCATGTCTCAGAATCGTGATTCTGGCTGTATGTCACATTCAAAACACACCTTTTGCGTCTTTAGATATATGCCCATATCAAAAGACGTTTAAAAAAGGCTTTGCGTTTATCATCTTCAAAATTTGCCTGAAAGACGTTTGAGAAACCTGATTCTAGGCAAAAATTTGGTCAATAAACGCACCCTATTTCATAAATCTTTTAAGACTAATTTTGAACAATAATGTAGATCTAATCTATTAACATGATTAAAGTAAAGGATAAATATTCAAGATAGAAGTGCTATTTGACGACCATTTTTTATTCCGTCTGAAAGCAAAAGAGAAGTCTTAGAATGCATGTTGAGTGGCAAAATACCCATCCTCCAACGGACCCCCATCATACAATCAATTCAAGATTGGAAAAAAAAACAATATAAGAAATATCAAACAATAAAACTTGTCCAAATCTAATTTCACAAAGTTTCATGAAACAATCTACTTCTACTACAGGATGTGGAGGTAATGAATGCCAGTCTGGACAAACTGAAGCGCTTGACGCATGAGGACAAGACGGAAGCCGCCATGCTGCGGTCACGCATCGATGAGCAGGGGCAGCTGATCTGCATTCTGAAGCAGCGAGCGGATGAGTCGCTTCTCAAGGCCCAGACCCTGGACCGGATCAACAGAGAGCTGGAGAAGTTCCGGGAGCATGCCCAGGAGATGCTGGAAGGAGAGATCAAGAAGTTCAACATGGTGGATCGAAGGTTTCAAGAGTTGGCCGAGAACCATGAGGAAATGATCAGGTAAGCTAAAGGATTCTGGGGAAATGTACTTGGCCAGGCTTTAATACGCAAAGAATAAAGAGCTAAAGTTGCATTTTGGTTTTTGTGATTAGAGTTAGGATTAGAAATGATGTTTGTTCCAGAGTTGAATTAAGGATTAATGTGAGAGGAAATTGACCTGGGAGCAGGTATCATTGACCTGAATGTAAATGATAGCGTATTGTCCTGGGTAATTCAATATCGTTTGGAAGTGCAATCGATATCCTAAATATTTACCAAATTTATGCTATTGAGATAATCTTGTCTTTTGGGATTCAGAATAATATTCAAATTTATATTGGGCATTTGTATAGGTGTGGCCTATTCTGCACTAGACACACAAGGAAAATAGCGGTAACATAAGAGTCTAAATGAGTGCCATATCTTTGTGTCAAGCATGAAGTCAGCAATGCAGGATTGTTTTAAAGGATGAGTTTTCAACTTGGATATTTCTAAGGATATTGTAGTCTGTGAACTCTGTTTTATGCTCCAAACAGATTGAAGGTTTAATGACCATTTCTTGTACAGGTGTAGTTTAATTATGCTTTGCTGGCAACCTCCTGGTGCAATTCAGCTATCATGATTGTCTTTGGATGTACAGGTTCAAAGATGAGTACAAGAGGCAGAATGAGATCTTGAGGACAGAGAATCAAAGGCTCCGAGAAGACAACGGCAACCTCTTCTCAGGAGCGATAGAGGAGCGGGATCAGAAGATCAAGGAACAACAGAAAGACCTGAAACTCCTGAAGGGCCAGTCTAGAGACATGGAAAGAAGATGCAGGTAATAATGATCAACTTGTTGACGGTTTTCTTGTGAAATAGATTTCTTGTCGTCGCGGGCAGCTCTTGGACGGCAGCCATGTAAATACAGACTCTACAAAGTCCTCAAGCAGGTTCAGCTTGACACTGGCATCTCTATGCGGTGCGGGCCATGACTATCATGAACAGCTCGTCAAAGACATCTTTGAGTGAAGTGCCGGCGAAGCTTCTCGTCTCGTTCAGTACAATCCTCTCATTCCTATAGGCTTCAAGTGTATCAAGCACCAACAGATATTTTACTCTGCATACTAATATTCTTTGTTATTATACTATATTCAACTTTTGAGTTTCAGATATTACTTCTATAAAGAGGTATTGAAATTATAACAAACACTCTCAACTGACATAAAAAATTGGCTTCTTGCTAGTCAATTCTATTCTGTGGAAAAAGAATTTGAATTGTATTTTTTAGCTCATTTATCTCTCAAACTATCAGCATAAAAAGAAACTTAAAAATATAATACACTACTTGCTGATATGCATATACATCAACTAACATAATGAAACAAAAGAAACATCGAGTTCTTTGAAAGCTTTTCACTATCAGAGCTGTTGGAATCCACCTTTTGTTTATTCAGTAGATTTCATTAAACAGTTGGAATTACAAAACTTGCAATGTCTTCTTACAGAAGTAATCTACAATGTAAAGTTGATATTTCTAATATGAGATACCAGCATGGATTCCCAAAGCATCTACAGCAAAAAGAAATTGCTTGTTTGGCACCCTTCACATTTGGTGAACGGTCGATTGCCCGACACTCTTCATGTAATTGATACATATTTTCTTTTGAGGCCTGTTTAATAGCAGGAGATCTGAAATCATCAAAACTGTTACATATATGTCATTTAATTATCCTGATAATTATGATGATGAAATGGTTTCTTGAAACTTTTCACAACAGTTTGCTACAGGAAGAAATGACTGAGAAGGAAAGACAGCACATAGAGATTGCAAAGAGCCTGGAAAAGGAGCTGAAATCTGCTAAGAATCAAATGAAAGGTGAGAGAATAGCCTCTACAATATCTGTATTAGAATGTTTATCTATTCTTTAGCAGATTATTTTTGTTGAATAGCCTAACCTCTGAAGTGGCTAGCAGCCTCAATCTTTTCAATTATGCTCCTTCCTGCAGTTGACTAAATAATAATAGTTGAATCAACGGACTAAAACCCAATAACTTGAGGGTCAATATACCTGTAGTGAGGGCCATATGCACAGTTTAAACAAAAGATAAATGTCACTACAATATCTTGTTAATCACCAAGTATACTTTTGTGTTTTTTAGAGGTGCTGGCACAACTTAAGCAAGAGAGGGACAGTAAGATGGCTACGGATTCTAGCAATACCATGAGGTTGGAGAAACTTAGCAGGGAGAGACAAGAGTTCTTAGATCTTTCAATGCAGAGAGGGAAATTAATTCAGGTCAGTGAAATTACTGGATGAGACATAGAGAAGTTGAGGTAATGAAAATTATAATAGCATTAACAAAGACAAGTACATGATGGGTCATGATGGGTCCAGCGGTAAATATCATTTGATTTGGAAGATTCCAAGACATCTACCCCAGGGCATACCCTGTCCAGGGTGGGACAACTACTCCATGAAAACTATCTCCAAGGACTACTCCCAAACAACTATTCCCCTATGACAAGAGCCCTCCACCAACAATGCCGCAAGGACACCCCCCCCCCATACCCCCACACTGACAACTACCCCCTTATTTAATCAACTATTCCCCTATGACAAGAGAACTCCATTAACCATGGCGTAAGGACAACCCCCCCCCCCCATACCCCCACACTGACAACTACCCCCTTATTTAATCAATTATTCCCCTATGACAAGAGCCCTCCATCAACGATGGCGCAAGGACACCCCCCCCCCCCCAATACCCCCACACTGACAACTACCCCCTTATTTAATCAACTATTCCCCTATGACAAGAGCCCTCCATCAACAATGCTGTAAGGACAAACCTCCTCCCCCACCCCCAACACCCCCACACTGACAGCTTCCCCCTAATTTAATGAATCCTTAGCTCAGGGATTATTGGGTCATATTTAAAAGCTAAGTTTTTATGGTAGGAGTAATTGCACTTGGAAGAATAAATGGCTACTGAAAAGTTCATTGAAGTCAGAAAAGTGGTACTAACAAACACATTGTACCTTTTTATTTTGTACGTTAGTTACACTTCTTGTTACATATTATATTTTTAAAGTGGGAAGAAAGTGTACCTTTACAATTTCTGAAGCTTTTTTGAAGTACATTGAGATGTAACATCATAATATGATATGCCCCTAACAAGAACGGAATATCATTGTTGTTATTATGTTATACAGTAGGCTTGCGGATGCACCATGTGAGAGAGAGGGAGGAAAAGGACTGTTGGTGTAGTCTTGAAAAAGACTTGGTTACCGGTATCTTTCTTAGCTTATAGTTCTAAGGAGAAATATAGCACCGATTGGAGAGGATGGGTGGCGGGAGTGGCTCGACGTTTCGAACAGCTTGACTGTCCGTCGTCAGGAGTTATTTTGTTGTTGTAGCATCAAATGAAAACTTTGTAGTAGAAAAGTACATGTAAAAGTTTTAATATGATGTCTTTGTTTTGTTTATTTGATAGGACAAACAGCGAGAGATCAAACAGATGGTGGACAAAGTTAAGGAAGCAGAGAAGGCTCTTCATAAAATGGAGGAGAAATTTGAGTGAGCATTTTAAGAATATTATGCTGCCATTGCAATACAAGATGAATATTATGCAAATGCTGGTTATATATTGGTAGAGAGAATCTCCCATATATAGAGAGACCAGGGGCCCGTCTTACAAAGAGTTAATATCAATCGCAACTTATTTGCGATTGATATTAATCGCAACTATGTACATAAGAGATAGGGGACTACAAATTTGTGATTGATAGGAGGACTTGCGATTGATTTGGATCAATCGCAACTCTTTGTAAGACGGGCCCGATCTAAAAACATAGTGAACTTTATTTATGCATTCTGTACATGTATAGATTTGCCAGTTTGTTCTCAATTGTATATATTATACATGTATCACCATTTTGCTGTAGATAAATAATTAATTTGGTAACTTACTGGATATTTCAAGTAGGCCGGTCATTATGTATACCTACATACGGGTATACATTTTTTTAATTTTTTTTTTTGCGAGGGGGGAATCTTCAACTGTGTTCTGTAATATATATTATGTCATATTTATGACCATATTAGGAGAGAGGCTGCTCTTGTATCAACCAATCTACAAGTCATCAGATTAAAGGATCAGAGAGATGAAGCAGAGAAGGATCTCTCAGGGCTCAAAATGGTAAGCATCAGTGTTTGCTCATTTATTTTTTTTTTTCTTCTTTTTTTTTTTTACTTTAAATGAACAAACAAATATAATTGTATTTCCATGATCAGTAAAACTATAGCTGTCACTTTACAAAAATATACATATTTCATGCTTTACATGTTTCGAAACAACAAGTTGTCATTCACTCCCCTAACTTTAACAAACAGAACAATAAAGATCAAAATGTCAAACAATTAAAAACAAACTAACTGCTCTAAACACATTTGTCCTTTAACATACATAAAAAAATAATATCTCCAAATAGCACTAAAAGTCCATATAATACCATCCAACTAATACACTAACAAATGTCAAAATAACCAACTCTACATGTACGTAAAATTCAACAACTCAATTAAGCACTAGCATACATAATGTCAGCCTGAGCTTTCAGTGACAAGCCCTCAGCTAGTTTCATCTTTCAAAACAATCATGAGAGTCTGAATCGAAAATCACAAAAAGAATCAAACTAAATGAGATAGATACAACACATTCAACTTTTCATTTAACCAATTTTGCTTGTGATACTAAAACATTATGTCTGAAATAGCAACTCATCTGTACTAAAAGTAGTATTAGTAGTAGAAAAACAATAATAATAGTAATAATAATAATAATAATGATAACAATGTCTTGCTTATATCCAGAATAGCCTCTTCACTGTTATGTACTGTTCAGCCAAAGAACTCTACAACAATCCAATGCTTTTTCAATGGCTTCTGAAATACAGTCCATTATACTACTAAAGAAGTAATTAAGCTCCGACAATTACCACTACCGTTAGTAGCTAGCCCACTAATGATCAAGAAATGATATCACTAAAGACATGACATCTGGACCATATGGGAGAAGTGAACCTTAGAAGCTTGGAAAAATCATTTCACTCTTTGTTTAATTTGTATAAAACTTATTTACATCATGTATAAACACAAAGATATAGAAGATAAATCCAATACTACACAACAATAAGAATCAACTTGCCTTTAAAAAAAAATACATTTTGAGTGCAGATACCTTTAACAATTTGTATTTTATGTTACATATCACAGACAATAAAATAAAATAACAACCATACATGTTATTTTAAATGAACAAACAAATATACTCTTATTTCCATGATAAAACTGTCATGTTACAAAAATATACTTATTTCATGCTTTACACATTCCAAAACAAGTTGTCATCCACTTTCCTAACTTTAACAAACAAAACAACAAAGATCAGAATGTCAAACAAAAAACAAACTAACTGCTTTGTACACATTTGCCCTTTGACATACATACATAAACAATTATCGCCAAATAGTACTAAAATCCCTATAATACCATCCAACTTACAATACAAATACACTAACAAATGTTAAAATAAACTCAAGAAGGAACCTGTACATAAAATTCAACAACTCAATTAGCTATGACCTACATATGTCAGCCTTCAACGATAAGCCCTTAACTAGCTTCATCTTTCAAAACAATTAGAATCTGAATCGACTAAAAATCACAAAAAAATCAAACTTATCAGTTCGTCGGCTCTGCGAGATACATACATGACCAAAGTTTGTCAGGAATCCATCAATCAGTTCTTCACATAACGCGATCACGAGAACGGGACGTACGTACGGACGGACAACCCGAAAACATAATGCCTCCGGCTACTTCGTAACGGAGGCATACAAATTATTGTAGAGTTCTTCCTATCATTGTTATCTTCACCAATTAAGCATGTATTTTGTTTGTTTTACCAAGCCCAACCAAAAATATCAGTTTATATAACTAATTATACAATTAAAGAAAAAAGGTCAAAAGTGAAACATTAATAGAATATAAAAACTGTATGACTACAAGTACAACCAACTTTGTATGCCACACCTGAAATATATTTTTGTAAATGAGAGGAATTTTTTGTAGAGAACAAAAATCTCTCCATTGCTTCAGATTTGTTTTATATTAAAATATTGGATGTTGTGCCCACAGCACTTGCTTCCTAATCCATATATGCCTCACACATTAAAAAGTAACAGGACAATCTGTTATTATCCTACATGAAACTTCTGCGATATTCAGAGCGAAATAATATGGCTGTTTTGAAGATTTAACCCACTTACTATAAAACATTGAGATTGACATTCTCTTATGTAAATAATTTCTTTGTAAACAATGTCAGCATTACAATCCTGAAACACTACAGAAAACACAAATTAATAACATTTCAAAAATATCATATCCAGCTCATATTGAGATTGGAGGAGTGCAGAAATCTCAAGGTAGTGAAGTAGAAAAATATCACATCCAGCCCACTGTCACTGAAAATGGTGTCAAAACAGCAACAAAACACACAAGGAATCAGCCTTATACTTCATCTTCCGAAATATCAGCACCTTCCAAATCTGCAACACTGACGCTGACAATTTCATCACCCCTTCGCTCAATAAAGAGGGTCACAGGAAGATCACGAAAGGACACACCAGCATAGCTCCTGTCCAGAGTGATGGAACTTCCTCCTTGGACCAGCAAATCCATTGGGTATCTTCCAAATCTGCAACACTGACGCTGACAATTTCATCACCCCTTCGCTCAATAAAGAGGGTCACAGGAAGATCACGAAAGGACACACCAGCATAGCTCCTGTCCAGAGTGATGGAACTTCCTCCTTGGACCAGCAAATCCATTAAAAAAGTGTCCCCTTACCCCCCCCCCCCCCCTGCTCATTTATTTCTTTGTCTATGTTAAGACTACTGCACATCTTAGGACCTGACTAGATCTGGATTTTTGTATTAAAGATAAAGGTGAGTTCTGGTCATCCGATTGCATTGTGAAAGAAAATTAGGTGTGGAATGGATCAGAAAAAGTTGATCATGTAGCATGTAAATATTAGTGTGTACTGCAAAGTTTTGGAGTCATCAAAATCATAATAAATTTGGCCCAGTCTTGGTAAAGTAACAAGCACTGTTCACAGAAATATGTATATGGTACTACACAAATGGTGCCGGGACTAACCTTGATTTCCTAAACTTTCTATGCTCATTACTCAGCCAGTATACATTTTCTACCAAAATTATTTGGCAAATGACATTTATTTGTAATCTTGAACATTCAGTGTAAGTTTCGTTTGATTCTGGAGAATTCATTTTCTTTTTTTTTACCAGAACTCACCTTTATCTTTAATCAAAATACCTGTATAAAATAATAGGGAGGCGAGTTGGCTCAATCGGTAAAGCGTCTGCCTGTCGAACCAAAGATCTTGGGTTCAAATCCCACCCAGGCGGATGACTGAAGCCTGTGTTGTGTGTTAACGTGCCCTTCCCCGTGTTTCATAGATTCAGGCTATGTTAAGTGGAAAAAACTCCGTCCCTCGGATAGGACGTTAAATGGAGGCCCCGTGTACAGGAGAGTCACCACCCTTGCACGTTAAGAACCCATTGCACTATTCGTATAAGAGTAGGAGGAAACCCCGGTGTAGTGGTCCACCTGCCGACACCTCACTCAGGCAAAGTATATACAGCATCTGCAAGAATCTTCAGTATTGAAGGAGGCAGAGTATCTTGAAGAAGAAGAATATGAAATTTTGATTTTATCACTTGTTCTCATCACTGAGATCTCGCGTTGTCATACAAATATAGAACTTGTAGTTTGTGTAGAGCTTTTCAGTCAGAGATAATTCCCAATCTGCTGTGCATTGTAATACCAACAGCATGACAGACCACGGACTAATATTCGATTTGACATTTTCACAGACTAGAACTTAAAAGGCTTAAAATACCTTGAAGTTTGAAGTTACCGGGGTAATATTTATCTCATTTTATTCATGAGGAAATGAAGATAATGTGAAGAAGAAGAAATGAGTGCTTATTTATGTACCAACCAATTATTTGGTCCAGAGGGGACCCTAAAACTTACAAACTCTGCTTTTACCAGGGTCTCCTCATCTTTCTTTTAGTTTACTTTTTTATCTTTTTATCATTGCCATAACTTGTTTTGCATTGTAAATGTGTAATGATCTATAAATGTTATGCTCTTTGTGACATTTGAAAGAAAGACAAATAAATATCTTATGTTATCTCACCTTTCTGGTGGTGCATTTTGACTTTAACAGTGATTGATCCATTTTGCCTTTCTCCACACAGGAGTATGCAGCCTATAAGAAGCACACTGCAAACTTGTTAGCCAAGGAGAAGACGCTCAATTCAAAACTCAGGAATCTATGCTCATGATCACCACTGGATATGCCTTTCACATGAAGAGGAAATTTGTGTAAAGTATGTTTTAAAGAAAACAAATGTGCGTGTACACACGAGATACATATATCGTCGGCCTCACAAAGCACCTTTGAGTATAGGCTACTAGATATATGGCAGTCAAAAAAATAATGGATTGAATCGGATCGCATTGGATGGTTATTCACTGTTGTGTACAAGCGTGTGACAAATGATTTTTTATGCCTCCGCCACCGAAGGTGGTGCCGGAGGCATCATGTTTTCGGGTTGTCCGTCCGTACGTCCGTACGTCCGAGTTTGCGATGGTATGCTTGTGTGTTTAGTTTTACGTATGAGATATCCTTGTGTGTCACTTTAGACTTGTGTGTCTAGCCACACAAGAAAACTATCATATTCAGTGTCTAAGATGTCTGACATGTCATTTCTAATCAACTAAGATTTAGTCACACAAGAAAAGTTTCTCCCAAAAAAAGGCCCAAAATAAATGTCCAAATTTTAGAGAGGGGTTGTGTCCAAGTAGCCAAACGGAATAGTGCCATCTACAGTTGACATCCAGGTAGCTAAGTACTATGCGCATCTGCAGTACTTGTGTGCGTGTGTGTGTGTGTGTGACTTGTTAGTGTGTAGTATTTGTAAGCAAAGTAGTAGGCAGTGTATGGCTCTGTGTGTGTGTGTGTCATGGGTGGATGGTTTTGTGTGTGCAGTGTATATAATACATGTAATGTTTTTTTTATGCCACACAAGCCTTAATTTTCTTGACTTGGACAGGGGAAGATAATAATGTCTTTCTGACACACAAGCCTTAATTTTGTTGACTTGGACTGGTTTAGATAATAATGTCTTTCTGCCACACAAGCCTCTATTTTCTTGACTTGGACAGGGGTAGACAATAATGTCTTTCTGCCACACAAGCCTTAATTTTCATGACTTGGACTGGGGTAGATAATAATGTGTTTCAGCCACACAAGCCCTAATTTTCTTGACTTGGACAGGGGTAGACAATAATGTGTTTCTGCCACACAAGCCTTAATTTTCTTGACTTGGACAGGGGTAGACAATAATGTCATTCTGCCACACAAGCCTTAATTTTCATGACTTGGACAGAGGTATATAATACATGTAATGTCTTTCTGCCACACATGCCCTAATTTTCTTGACTTGGACAGGGAAAGATAATAATGTCTTTCTGACACACAAGCCTTAATTTTTTTTGACTTGGACGGAAGTAGATAATAATGTCTTTCTGCCACACAAACCTTAATTTTCATGACTTGGACAGAGGTATATAATACATGTAATGTCTTTCTGCCACACAAGCCCGTTATTTTCTTGACTTGGACTGGGGTAGATAATAATGCCTTTCTGCCACTCAAGCCCTAATTTTCTTGACTTGGACAGTGGTACAGGTATATAATACATGTAATGTTTTTATGCCACACAAGCCTTAATTTTCTTGACTTGGACTGGGGTAGACAATAATGTTTTTCTGCCACACAAGCCTTAATTTTCTTGACTTGGACTGGGGTAGATGACAATATCTTTCTGACACACAAGTCTTAATTTTCATGACTTGGACAGAGGTATATAATACATGTAATGTTTTTTTTATGCCACACAAGCCCTAATTTTCTGGACTTGGACAGGGGTAGACAATAATGTCTTTCTGCCACACAAGCCTTGATTTTCTTGACTTGGGCAGGGGTAGACAATAATGTTTTTCTGCCACACAAGCCTTAATTTTCTTGACTTGGACTGGGGTAGATGACAAAATATTTCTGACACACAAGCCTTAATTTTCATGACTTGGACAGAGGTATATAATACATGTAATGTTTTTATGCCACACAAGCCCTAACTTTCATGACTTGGACAGGGGTAGACAATAATGATTTTCTGCCACACAAGCCTTAATTTTCTTGACTTGGAACGGGGTAGATGACAAAATCTTTCTGACACACAAGCCTTAATTTTCATGACTTGGACAGAGGTATATAATACATGTAATGTTTTTTTTTATGCCACACAAGCCCTAATTTTCTGGACTTGGACAGGGGTGGATAATAATGTCTTTCTGTCACACAAGCCTTAATTTTCTTGACTTGGACTGGGGTAGATGACAATATCTTTCTAGCAACACAAGCCTTAATTTTCTTGACTTGGACTGGGGTAGACAATAATGTCTTTCTGCCACACAAGCCCTAATTTCCTTGACTTGGACAGTGGTACAGGTATATAATACATGTAATGTTTTTATGCCACACAAGCCTTAATTTTCTTGACTTGGACAGGGGTAGATAATAATGTCTTTCTGCCACACAAGCATTAATTTTCATGACTTGGACAGGGGTAGATAATAATGTCTTTCTGCCCCACAAGCCTTAGTTTTCATGACTTGGACAGGGGTAGACAATAATGTCTTTCTGCCACACAAGCCTTTATTTTCTTGACTTGGACTGGGGTAGATGACAATATCTTTCTGACACACAAGTCTTAATTTTCATGACTTGGACAGAGGTATAAAATACATGTAATGTATTTTTTATCCCACACAAGCCCTAATTTTCTTGACTTGGACAGGGGTAGACAATAATGTCTTTCTGCCACACAAGCCTTAATTTTCTTGACTTGGACTGGGGTAGATAATAATGTCTTTCTGTCACACAAGCCTTAATTTTCTTGACTTGGACAGGGGTACATGTAGACAATAATGTCTTTCTGCCACACAAGCCCTAATTTTCTTGACTTGGACAGGGGTAGACAATAATGTCTTTCTGCCACACAAGCCCTAATTTTGTTGACTTGGACTGGGGTAGATGACAATATCTTTCTGCCACACAAACCCTAATTTTCTTGACTTGGACAGGGGTATATAATACATGTAATGTTTTTTTATGCCACACAAGCCTTAATTTTCTTGACTTGGACAGGGGAAGATAATAATGTCTTTCTGACACACAAGCCTTAATTTTTTTTGACTTGGACGGAAGTAGATAATAATGTCTTTCTGCCACACAAACCTTAATTTTCATGACTTGGACAGAGGTATATAATACATGTAATGTCTTTCTGCCACACAAGCCCATTATTTTCTTGACTTGGACTGGGGTAGATAATAATGCCTTTCTGCCACACAAGCCCTAATTTTCTTGACTTGGACAGTGGTACAGGTATATAATACATGTAATGTTTTTATGCCACACAAGCCTTAATTTTCTTGACTTGGACTGGGGTAGACAATAATGTTTTTCTGCCACACAAGCCTTAATTTTCTTGACTTGGACTGGGGTAGATGACAATATCTTTCTGACACACAAGCCTTAATTTTCATGACTTGGACAGAGGTATATAATACATGTAATGTTTTTTTTATGCCACACAAGCCCTAATTTTCTGGACTTGGACAGGGGTAGACAATAATGTCTTTCTGCCACACAAGCCTTGATTTTCTTGACTTGGACAGGGGTAGATAATAATGTCTTTCTGTCACACAAGCCTTAATTTTCTTGACTTGGACTGGGGTAGATGACAATATCTTTCTAGCAACACAAACCTTAATTTTCTTGACTTGGACTGGGGTAGACAATAATGTCTTTCTGCCACACAAGCCCTAACTTTCTTGACTTGGACAGGGGTAGACAATAATGTCTTTCTGCCACACAAGCCCTAATTTTGTTGACTTGGACAAGGGAAGATAATAATGTCTTTCTGCCACACAAGCCCTAATTTTGTTGACTTGGACTGGGGTAGATAATAATGTCTTTCTAGCAACACAAACCTTAATTTTCTTGACTTGGACTGGGGTAGACAATAATGTCTTTCTGCCACACAAGCCCTAACTTTCTTGACTTGGACAGGGGTAGACAATAATGTCTTTCTGCCACACAAGCCCTAATTTTGTTGACTTGGACAAGGGAAGATAATAATGTCTTTCTGCCACACAAGCCCTAATTTTGTTGACTTGGACTGGGGTAGATAATAATGCCTTTCTGCCACACAAGCCCTAATTTTCTTGACTTGGACAGTGGTACAGGTATATAATATCTTTTTGCCACACAAGCCCTACTTTTCTTGACTTGGACAGAGGTATATAATACATGTAATGTTTTTTTATGCCACACAAGCCTTAATTTTCTTGACTTAGACAGAGGTATATAATATATGTAATGTCTTTCTGCCACACATGCCCATTATTTTCTTGACTTGGACTGGGGTAGACAATAATGTTTTTCTGCCACACAAGCCTTAATTTTCTTGACTTGGACTGGGGTAGATGACAATATCTTTCTGACACACAAGCCTTAATTTTCATGACTTGGACAGAGGTATATAATACATGTAATGTTTTTTTTATGCCACACAAGCCCTAATTTTCTGGACTTGGACAGGGGTAGACAATAATGTCTTTCTGCCACACAAGCCTTGATTTTCTTGACTTGGGCAGGGGTAGACAATAATGTTTTTCTGCCACACAAGCCTTAATTTTCTTGACTTGGACTGGGGTAGATGACAAAATATTTCTGACACACAAGCCTTAATTTTCATGACTTGGACAGAGGTATATAATACATGTAATGTTTTTATGCCACACAAGCCCTAACTTTCATGACTTGGACAGGGGTAGACAATAATGATTTTCTGCCACACAAGCCTTAATTTTCTTGACTTGGAACGGGGTAGATGACAAAATCTTTCTGACACACAAGCCTTAATTTTCATGACTTGGACAGAGGTATATAATACATGTAATGTTTTTTTTTATGCCACACAAGCCCTAATTTTCTGGACTTGGACAGGGGTAGACAATAATGTCTTTCTGCCACACAAGCCTTGATTTTCTTGACTTGGACAGGGGTAGATAATAATGTCTTTCTGTCACACAAGCCTTAATTTTCTTGACTTGGACTGGGGTAGATGACAATATCTTTCTAGCAACACAAACCTTAATTTTCTTGACTTGGACTGGGGTAGACAATAATGTCTTTCTGCCACACAAGCTCTAACTTTCTTGACTTGGACAGGGGTAGACAATAATGTCTTTCTGCCACACAAGCCCTAATTTTGTTGACT